AATACGTAGAGATGACAGCGCCTCTAATAAATGTCAAAATGGCCTGCCATAGTATTCAGATAGCTGGAGTTGGCTTTTGGTTTTGGCCTTATGGGTTGATGGATGGAACAACATGGCAGGTCAGGTAGCTGAGGATGAGGAAGATGAGGAAGGCTGGGAAACAGATAGTGGAGGTAAAGAGGAGAAAGGTGGTTTGAGAATGAAGAACATAAACTTGAATTAGAAAAAAGTTCAGATGAAGAAATAGATGTAGAAAGAAATAAAAATAATATTTAGATTCAATGACGAAGATAAACAGTAATTTCAGCCCCGTTTTGATTTCCAATGAAATAAATAAGAACATTGAGGAAGTGGAATCAGCTGAAGAGTCGATTGTTGGAAACTTTCTGGTAATATGGAAAAATGAGGAGCAAAAAAAAAAAATCTAAGCTTTGGATGTTAAACACTGAGGGAAAAGACGTGAGGTAAAAGTAAGGTAAGAGAATAAAACAGAATAAAACAGAGAAAGGAGAGATAACAGGAAAACCAATTCAGTAGGATTTAGATCAATTAGAGATGAACATTATTGGAGGCTTTGTTAACAGGATCCAGAGTTTCTAGAAACCTAGAAGAGGAAAGGATGGCAGCAGGTCACTGCTGATAGAGTCTCAGTCAGTTCTAGCAGAAAGAGTTAAAATAGGCTGGATGAATTTCATTCCACCTCCACTCAGGTGCTCTAGGTGTCAGCGCTACGCACACCTGGCAGCAGTTTGTAGGGGAAGCAACGGTGTTTAGAATGCAGAGCAGAACTAAGAATAAAGGAGAGAAGAAAGGTGCTGCAGCTGTAGAGGGCAGCACTGATTAACTATGGAGGAGAGAAAGAAACAGCTTAGAACTATAACAACTAGAAGAGAGTTCCAGGACAAAGGAAGGAGAAATGAATCAAGATCAGAATAAAGAAAAAACAGAAGATAATTTCAGTTGAATTCAATTCTATTCAGTTTATTTCTATAGCTCCAATTCACATCATGTCACCTCAGGTCACTTTCCAGTTCACCAGATCATCCAGTCAGATTGATTCAAAGTTTTCTATCTAAGGAAAACCAGCTGATTGCATCGACTCATTGACTCTTCA